AAATATTTTGCTTAGAGATGTATTTTACTAGGGGAGGAATACCAGATAAGGAGCTTTTCCTTTCCTACAACATATACGGGTATAATACAAATCTTGGGTTAAATCAGGATCGTTTTTTTTTTCATATAGGTAAAAAAAATTTAAAATCAACCATATCAAGGAAAATAAAATTTGTACATTATGTGCATATTTTTTGTCCGATTCAACCCACCCAGGAACCAGCCTTAAATATGTTATTAAATTAAAACCGTTTGGTTTCAATGTTGTCGCTCTCCTTTCACATATGGATTCTTATAATTTAGAAATCCCTACTAATATTATAAATGTGAATGTAAGTTTGTTTGTTACGCTTTCACGCGAAAACTACTTAACTGATCATCATTAAACTTTGTACACATATTCTTCGAGGTATTAGAAGTAACATAGGATACTTTTTATTAAAAAAAAATATTTTTTACAAAATTTATTTTTTACGAAAGATTTTCTATATTTATTGTTTTGGGTTAGGTGTCATTTTTGTGGTTAATTTGTGATTTTAATTCTTACTCTGTTCTTCTTTAAAAATGCCTCGGAAGCGGAAATCTGGTCTATCCAAAAATTCGTCGCGGGCCCGTGCCGCCAAAGTTGCACGAAATCAATTAATGGCTTCAATGCGAGCGAAGCCGCGGGTAAAAGCTAGTGGTATATAAAATGCAAGTTGCCCGTGAATGCCCATGCTTTTTTGTTAAAGACCAAAAAACTATATATTTGCCAGATGATCCACATATCTTCTAAATATGAAGAGATATATTATTAAAACATAAATTTATTTACAAAGGTCGTACAATATATTTATTTTTATTTATTTATTATTCCAACAGGAAAAACCCAATTACAGGAATAAAAAGAAGAGAAAAGTGTAATAACTATGTTATTATCTACTAATACAAACAAAATGAAACCAATAAGATGAAATAAACAAAATGTTATTGCCAGTTACAGCTAATTACTGTACTGTTACTCTACTTATTAATATATCTTGGGAATACATAAAAATGTTTTATAATCATGACAAAAATTTTAATCTAGCACCTCCAAAACAAATACATTCTCATATTTGCCCAAATAGTTTTGAGAAGATGAAATTGAATTTGCTGTGCAGGTGTTGAATGACACAGCTTAAGTATTAATGTAAAATGATTTGTTGCAATTTCAACAGATAGCATCTGCATAGTTTGTTGAAAAAATTGACAAACTTTTTGATCTTTTTAATTTCTGTAGAATTCTTAATAAAAATGTTCAACAAAGCACTTAAAGGATTGAATTTCCAAGGAAATTATTTTTATTGTTCTTAATAATCGGAACGTAAGTGATAGTGGAGAAGACAATGCTAATATAATTAATTTTATACAATATTTTAAAGTAGCAATAATTACTGGCATGCTATATTAAAATAACAAAATTTGAATAGGTACACACGTTTGTGGATACTGCTAATTACTTCCCATAGCAGAAAATGCTCACAAAAGTATGAAAAAATGTGTGACTATTTGAACGTTTCCTATCCCAATGTTACCGTCCGCGTCCTCGTCCTATGAAAGAATCGGCAAGATTGATTAAATGGCAATACGAAATTAAAAAATTAGAGTAGAGTAACTGGTATTTATATAACTGTGGTTATATTTCTCATGAGTTATTCAATGATTTTGTTTAAATGTTCAAATTAATAGTATTTACAATTTTCCTCATTTCCACCTCAAATATTAAGTGAACATCTAATTATCATACATCGCTGAATTCAGAAATAGTTTTCTATCTACCAGACTAAGTAAAATGTAGATAAGTATAAAAAAGTTCGTCTAATTGTTGACATTGCTTGTAGTTTTAGGGAAGTTAGGCAGACCGAGGTTAGGGGTCAGCGCGATCAACGTCATCAAATCTAAAAAAAGGGGAACTTGTTACTTAAACTGTTATAATAGGGTAATAAAAGTATTATATGTAACAGAATAATGATAAATGCATAATTTGTTACATCTGAGGGCGTTGATCACAATGCCCCTTGGATCCTGACGGCCTACAAACGTCAAAATTTGTAGGCAAACTTAACTCTTAATTTGACTTAGGTATCTGATAGTGTAGCTTATAAACTCGGTACAAATAACTACTGTTTCAGTTAAAACTAAATTGATAATTGCCTGTCATTAAAGTAGATGTTGAATAATAAAAGTTATAGTATGTACCCAGTTTGTACTTTTGGAGTAACATTAAATAAGCTTATGCGACATGTGCCATAAACGCCAACATTTTAGGTTTCTTTTTTGAGCCCATTAAAAATAACGAAGTTAAGCTTGCAGTGCAAATATAAAAACAAATCAATAATTCGTTTTCTAGATTTGAAATTTTATTTTTTGGCAGTTTTTCCACAAAGGAAACTGCTACTGCATCTCTCTGCCTTATAACTCTCAATCTACTTACTAATGTTATGGTTTGGAATATCATTATAAATATGCAGTGCGTCCCAGAAGTAACGCAAAAAATTCGTATTTTACTTTGCGTTGAGTTTTCACAAAAACGCTAAAACACGTCAATTAGTAAATAGGAATTGTCGTTTTGTCACGTTTGTTAAACCTTTTTTGCGCTGTGTTTCATAAACCTATGATGTCATAGACATTTTTTTTAAATGGCACTACCTAATTTTTTAAGCATAAATGGAGCGAAAAAAAAGCCAACGATTGGAATGGACATGGTTTGAATCAATAACAAAAGTAGGTATCACAAACTTATGCGCGAACAGTGCTATAGCAAAAAATATGTTTCGGTTGATTGTAGGTACATGTTTTTATGTAAATATGGTAGGTACACCCGATCACAGCGGCTATGTGTAGGTATTGTTTTGAAGACGACAGTTAGCGAATGCAATAGTGCCTTATAGACCAGGCAATAAAGAGAAAAATATCTAGATTTTCGCGGCCCGGTCCAATTTTAATGCAGTTTTTTGCATTTTGTTCAGAAAGACCGTCGGAAAAAAGTCCCGCCTTTTTTATTATCCGGAAGTGGCGGAAATGCATCGCGGGTGCATAAAGTGCATCTAGAAGTGCATCGCATCCGAGAAACTTGCCAAAGTGCACGAAATACCGCAAAAATTGGTACTCGGGGGTTTTGGGGGGCGCAGAATTCGAATATGCATATATCCAGTC